ATAATTTTTTCAAATTTTTTTCTCATGAATAATATATATATATATATTTTAAAGCAACCAGCCACAATAAGCATTTTCGTTCGTTATGCTATTTCGATTTTTTTTTTTTTTTTTCAATGTCATCACGCTGTAGGGCTTGAGGCGACTGTAGCTGGGTGAGCCCCCCCCCAAAAAAACACCACTCTTTCGTGGTCTGCCCATTCACCGTGAACGGCCGTTCACGAAAAAAACACCAAATGAACGGCCGGTCACRTTCAAGTGRCCGGTGTCGTTCGCGTTCASGGTGACGGCACTGCCGTGACCCATGTGCTTCGACCATGGCCCTTCAGAGGCATCACCCTCTCCTTCCAGATGCGCCRCCGGGAAGATTGTCGTCTCTCAAGGCAGCGCGCTCACGACACCTCACCAAGAGAGAGGACTCTCAAGTTGGACTCACTTCCTCGCGGTAAGAAGAGATTGAGAGGGAAGATAAGGTAAAGGAACAACGTACCTGGAGATAGCTGCCCCCAACCACAGATTTCTCACCAATTGAGCTGATTGTGCATTTTGATGACYGGTCGTAACCTCGGTACCACCCACAACGCAATGCAGTGCCACCTCAGCCAAATGCCACATCAGCATGCTCTCATCACCATACATACATTCCGCTGTCGCCACCTCGTCCCAAKCTGTATCCAAGCCTTCCTGCCAACTCCCCTCTACCTGGGAGTGGCTGCTCACAGCCAGCGMCAAGCGCACCTTCTGCGAAGAAGCATTGTCAACACACCAAGTCACYATGTCGCCAGCGTCAGGTAAGCGGCGAAACTAACCAGCTCTGATACCAAATTGCAAGGAATACGAGTGTGAACGATGTACAGAAATCCAAATTGCAAATCAMGCAGAAGTCCAATTAGTCAYGCACCGAGCAGATAGCACATTGGCACCAAAAAAACCATCCATATGAGAATGATACAGCAGAATCGTGAGTCRATCTCCAAGCCCTCAGGCCACACCAACACAGTATCCACTGTAGCTCTTTCAGAATGGYGCCAGGTGCCCTGYCTACTCTACTCACTACAACTACGACTCCTACACTTAGCAACCAGGACGACTTCACCTCTGAAGACCAGTGTGCATGACGTCAACACCGATGCCGACCTTCTCTCGCACACCAGGTATGTACTGAATCACTCCCCTCCTCCTTCCTTCTCCATCCACACTGCGCCTCCTTCCTGAAGACCTCCTTCGCCAGCTGTACCCCTGTGCGCCCTGCAGCCYGGCTACGGCCGCATGCGGCCCGCTGCCCTGCAGCGCCCCTCATCACCTCCYGGTGCCCGCTCGYGCCTCCAGCCAGCAGCTACAACGCAGCCTCTTGCACATTCGCGCAGCAGCGTGGCCGCATTGCCTGCCTAGGCCAGAATGCCCTCCACTGACTGCCACTTCTGCTATATGGAAGTGCAGCCAGCCTCTGCTGCCCTGGGCCTTGCTGGCGAAGCTTCCAGTAGCTTCCGGTCGGGCCCCAGTGGCTGCACCCAGGCCCGATTGACAGTTGGGGGCCTGGGTCTCTTACAGTTGGGCTTCCCCAAGGCTGACGTCCAAGCTCAGGCACTTCGCCTGTTTYTCATTGGYTCGCTGGGCCTCCATGACGACAATGCTGCTTTCTGACTTGCCCTCGACCATTACGTGATGTGTCGGCCTCTCCCTGCGTGTGCCCAAGGCCTAACTCATCGGGGCCCTGGGCTCAACTGCTTCTCGCATGAGCCAGAGGCTCATGTTGCATTCCAACCAACTGGAGTGCTGCAACTGTCTGGTACCCACATTGTGAAATGCTAGAGTGAGGGGCCTCACGTGGATATTCTGAGAGCAGGTTAACGGAGACCCTAATTTTCAGACCACTTGCCATGCCATTTATAAGAAAACCAAAGGGTCATTCTAACTAAACTTGCCACCAATTTATAGATTGGAGACCATACTAACTAACTGCAAAAAAACAACCGAGAAAAAATTAAAAAATATATAAAACAGCAAGGCAAAAGTGCACTTTCATGAAATTTCGCCAACATTCCAATTTCAGAAATCTGGAGAAATGTCAGAAATCTTAACAGAGGAAATTCCAATGCTCCAAATGACACCAAATTTGGCAMACAGCAACAATGAACCAAAACAAGAAAAMATTTTACCCCCAAAACCTAATTTCAGTTTTGGACCCGTTACCCAGGGCCTGAAACTGGGGGTCCCTGTTAACCACTTGTTTGACCCTAATTTTCAGACCACTTGCCATGGCCCGCCTTCACTTAGGGCGGGCACGAGGCTTGCTGGGGGCCACAACCCAGAACATATGCATGTTGGCTAGGCCCCTTTGAGGGCTCATTCCTCACAGATTRATTGGTTGATTGATTGGTGGGGGTGGGGTCGCCCAACCCCCCGCCCCAAACCCCACGCTGAAAGGGTTTTCACCGATCTGCGACAGTCTGCACCACCCAGGGTTTGATCCCTAGACCTACCCCTAACCTGTGTATAATACCCTGTGTGTGTTTGAACCCGTGACCTGTCGCCCGAAAGTTGYCTGTTTGGGACTGTTGTACATATGTGGGCTGCAWGGGTTCGATCTGTTGAGTTGTAGCGTAGGAKTCATAGCCTAGTTCGAGTCGTGGCTGCTACAGTACCGAAGGGTCACACGAGTAGGCTGTAGGCCTGTCTAGAACAGTCCTAGGTGGCACTTCGTAGGTCCTAGCTGTCAGTCCGGTGTAGAAGCGTCTAGAGGGCAGTCCTGCCTGGCGGTACCTACCGGTCCAGTCAGCAGTATCTGGAAGCATCCAGTCAGCAAGTACGAAGGGGACTGTGCACACCTAGGCCAGGGTCCGATAGGACCGACCAGCCAATTGACGAAGTATAAATCAAGAGGCAGCGTCAAGCAATTCATTCATTCTGCCTGTGAGTCGTGCGGAAGCGCTATCAAAGTAGTGCCTTGTGTACGATGGTCTGCAGGTGCCCGATGAGGAAGAGGGCTAAGAGAGGGAATCCACCAGAGCTATTAGTAGGAGGAGGAAGGCGGCGGCCATAGACGCCACGTCAGCCAGTTAGCAGGTGTTAGTGTGTGAGAGGGAGTGAGTGTGAGTGGGACATCCAGGGTAGATCCAGGCTATGTTGCACGCCCGGCCGCGGCCGGGGGGTCCGAATCGGCCGCGGCCTAGGCTGATGACCGACTCGGCCCGGTCCGGCCTAGGCCGACCAGCCGAGTTCRGTACATGATTTTTTTTACCCATATTTCACGTACAAAAAAAAAATAAAAAAAAATGGGCGTGTAGGGCCGAAAAAGCCCTACACGCCCATATCTTTTTTTTTGGGTGTCGGACCTTTGAGC